GCCAGTCCAACCCCATTCTGCCAGGCAGGAAAACACAATCAAATCACCCCCCAACAGAGGCCCATCTGGCCTTGCCTTTAAGAACTCCAAAAAGGGAGACTCCCCTAGATGCGAAGGAAGGTGATATTCCTACCAGCTGTTAGGAATTGTGGGAGTTGGAGTCCAGAACACCTGGAGGGAGGAAGTTGGCTCTAATCCCATGGGCTTTGCTGCCCCTCCGTTGTGGCTGTGGGGCCTCCCTTGCTCTCCCAGCCCAGCCTACCCCACAGGAATGTTGTAAGAAGAGGCACTGGCTTTGCGGGTTTGGACGTGGCGCCGAGCCAAAGCCTGGTGTTTTACGAAAGCCTTTGGGGCACAACGGGTTTTGTTCCATTGGCATGCCTTGCGATGGCGGATATCATTCCAAATTGCCTGCGCCTGCTTCTAAACGGTCTGGATTTAGAGTAGATGGCCCTCTATGGCAGGCATGGGCCAACTTGGGCCCTCCAGGTGTTTTGGACTCCAACTCCCACAATTCCTAACAGCCGGTAGGCTGTTAGGAATTGTGGGAGTTGGAGTCCAAAACACCTGGAGGGCCCAAGTTGGCCCATGCCTGCCATAGAGGGCCATTTCTTGTTCTTTTCATAGAATCCTAGAGTTGGAAGAGACCTGGTGGTCCATCATCCAGTCCAACCCCATTCTGCCAAGAAGCAGGAAAATCACATTTAAAGCACCCCCGACAGATGGCCATCCAGCCTCTGTTCCAAAGCCTCCAAAGAAGGAGCCTCCACCACACTCCGGGGCAGAGAGTTCCACTGCTGAACAGGTCTCACAGTCAGGAAGATCATAGAATCAAAGAGTTGGAAGAGACCTCCTGGGCCATCATCCAGGCCAGCCCCATTCTGCCAAGAAGCAGGAAAATTGCATTCAAAGCACCCCTGACAGATGGCCATCCAGCCTCTGTCTAAAAGCTTCCAAAGAAGGAGCCCCCACCACACTCTGGGGCAGAGAGTTCCACTGCTGAACGGCTCTCACAGTCAGGAAGTTCTTCCTCATGTTCAGATGGAATCTCCTTTCTTGTAGTTTGAAGCCATTGTTTCGCATCCTAGTCTCCAGGGAAGCAGAAAACAAGCTTGCTCCCTCCTCCCTGTGGCTTCCTCTCACATATTTATACATGGCTATCATATCCCCTCTCGGCCTTCTCTTCTTCAGGCTAAACATGCCCGGCTCTTTAAGCCGCTCCTCATAGGACTGGATGGCCCAGGAGGTCTCTTCCAATTCTAGGATTCTATGATGCTATGATTCTATGACTGGGCCCTTATGTCATGCACTTTGGGCTAAGAGAGAGAGAGAGGGGAAGCGATTGGATGTCCGTTTGGGGCTCAGCTGGCAGGGGGTCACTCTTGAAATAGATGGCCTGGCAAAACCCCAAAGCAGGATGGAAAGAGCCCCTCGTGCTGGCCCTGAAGCTCCGCATAGCTGGCCTCTCTGGGTGGGAGCCAGCAGAGGTGGGCTCTTCTATTGACAAGGGCAGCAATTACAATCTCTTAGCTTGGCAGGGGCCGAGAAGGGTCCAATGGCATTGAGGAACCCTTTGAAGTATCGGGGTCTGCGTGGGGGAGTTGGTTCTGAGCTGAGCCTGGCAGGAAGAGCCCCATCCTCATTGGGAAACCGCTTCCGTTGCGGCCTGACGACAGACAACCCCGCCGTTCTCCTTTCCCCGTTTCCTTCCTCTTTCCCCAGACCTTAAGGCTTCCTCCCTTGCGAAGAAGGGGGCCAGCTCCACGCTTGGGGGTCAATGCTGCTGCAAAGGCAAGCCCAGAGAGAGGGGGCAACCCAAGAGGCCTCCTCGCAGGGTCATGGAACTGGAGGGACACCCTGAAGGTCATCTAGTCCAACGCCAGGAGGGGAGTGGGTTGCAATCCTTTAGGAAGCGTTTCCCTTGGTTCAAAGTGGCTGGCATCAATCCTTCCAACCTGCCATTTTCTCATGCGCACACGCTCCTTGCAACCCTAGTCATTTTGCAGCTGACAAAATAAGCAGTTTGGTGGTGTCTCTTTCTTTGGAGGCTTTTCAGCAGAGGCTGGATGGACATCTGTTGGGAGGGATTTGATGGTGTCTTCCTGCCTGGCAGAAGCAGATTGGACTCTCTTCCAACTCTTAAGATTCTGCCAAGATCAGGAGTAGTGCTTGAATCAGGCCTGAACTCTCCCTAGAATTCCAAATTCCAAATTCCTGGGTCGCTGTGAGTTTTCTGGCCTGTCTGGCCATGTCCCAGAAGCATTCTCTCCTGACGTTTCGCTCGCATCTATGGCAGGCATCCTCAGAGGTTGTGAGGTCTGTTGGAAACTAGGCAAGTGGGGTTGATATATCTGTGGAATGCCCCCAGCAGCATTCTCTCCTGACGTTTCGCCCACATCTACGGCAGGCATCCTCAGAGGTTGTGAGGTCTGTTGGAAACTAGGCAAGTGGGATTTATATATCTGTGGAATGCCCCAGCAGCATTTGCTCCTGTCGTTTCGCCCACATCTATGGCAGGCACCCTCAGAGGTTGTGAGGTCTGTTGGAAACTAGGCAAGTGGGATTTATGTATCTGTGGAATGACGTCCAGGAAAACCATGAAAAGGAACAAAATCTGGTTCCCTGTATTTAAAACAAAAAACACCTCTAAAATCAGGATAATAAAGAAAGAACAACACTCAAAAACAGGGGAATTCCAGACAAGAAACAATCAGGGCCAGCTAATCACCTCCCAACAAAGGATTCCCCCAGGCAGGAAGCACCCAAGCCTTGAAGCTGCAAAGCTATTCAGTGCTGATCAAGGTGATCAATTGCAGCATTCACACTTGCCTCGAGCAGATGAAAGTTCTTTCTCCCAAACTGGACATTATCTCACAGTTATATAAACCCCGCTTGCCTCCTTTCCAACAGTCCTCTATACAGATACCTTCACTGATTGACTTTGCAGCTGCAAGGCCATTCAGTGCTAATCAAGGTGGCCAAGGGCAGCATTCGCACTTGCCTCAAGCAGAAAGGAGTTCTTTCTCCCACCCTGGACATCATTCCACATATATCTAAGCCCCACTTGCCTCATTTCCAACAGACCTCTATACAGATACCTTCACTGATTGACTTTGCAGCTGCAAGGCCATTCAGTGCAAATCAAGGTGGCCAAGGGCAGCATTCACACTTGCCTCAAGCAGACAGGAGTTCTTTCTCCCACCCTGGACATCATTCCACAGATATCTAAACCCCACTTGCCTAGTTTCCAACAGACCCCTCAACCTCTGAGGATGCTTGCCATAGATGTGGGTGAAACATCAGGAGAGAATGCTGCTGGGACATTCCACAGATATCTAAACCCCACTTGCCTAGTTTCCAACAGACCCCTCAACCTCTGAGGATGCCTGCCATAGATGTGGGCAAAACGTCAGGAGAGAATGCTGCTGGGGCATTCCATAGATGTCTAAACCCCACTTGCCTAGTTTCCAACAGACCCCTCAACCTCTGAGGATGTCTGACATAGATGTGGGCGAAACGTCAGGAGAGAATGCTGCTGGGACATTCCACAGATATATAAACCCCACTTGCCTAGTTTCCAACAGACCCCTCAACCTCCGAGGATGCCTGCCATAGATGTGGGCGAAATGTCAGGAGATAATGCTTCTGGAAGATGGCCAGGCAGCCCAAAAAACTCACAGCAACCCTTCCAACAGACCTCACAATGTATTGTCGAAGGCTTTCATGGCCAGAATCACTCAGTTCTTGTGGGTTTTTTCGGGCTATAGGGCCATGTTCTAGAGGCATTCTCTCCTGACGTTTTGCCTGCATCTATGGCAAGCATCCTCAGAGGTTGTGAGGTCTGCTGGAACTGGGAAAAAAGGGGTTCAGACCTCACAATCTCTGAGGTTGCCTGCCATAAATGTGGGCAAAACATCAGGAGGGAATGCTTCTGGAACATGGTCTGACAGCCTGGGAAACTCAAAGCAACCCAGTGATTCCAGCCATGAAAACCTTGAATGACTCTCTTTCTGCCTGGAAGAATGAGGTTGGATTGGATGACCCTCCCAACGCTGGGATTCCATGACGTGAACGCTCACCACTGGATTGTACAGCAATGCGGACGCTCGCCACCCCATAGAATCCTAGAATCAAAGAGTTGGAAGAGACCTCCTGGGCCATCCAGTCCAACCCCATTCTGCCAAGAAGCAGGAATATTGCATTCAAATCACCCCTGACAGATGGCCATCCAGCCTCTGTTTAAAAGCTTCCAAAGAAGGAGCCTCCACCACACTCCAGGGCAGAGAGTTCCACTGCTGAATGCCTCTCACAGTCAGGAAGTTCTTCCTCATGTTCAGATGGAATCTCCTCTGAAGTTGGAGAAGGCCCCCTTTAGGTTCTTGTGGGTTTTTCCGGGCTATAGAGCCATGTTCTAGAGGCATTTCTCCTGACGTTTCGCCTGCATCTATGGCAAGCATCCTCAGAGGTAGTGAGGTCTGTTTGAATTAGGAAAATGGGTTTATATATCTGTGGAATGGCTGGGGTGGGGCAAGGAGCTCTTCCCTGCTGCAGCTGGGTGTGAATGTTTCAACTGATCACTCTCATTAGCATTTGAAGGCCTGCCTGAGCCTGGGAAAATCTCTTGCTGGGAGGTGTTAATCTGTGCCTGGTTGTTTCCTCTCTGTTGTTTTGCTGTTGTAATTTTAGAATTTTTTAATACTGGTAGCCAGATTTTGTTCATTTTCATGGTCTCTTCCTTTCTGTTGAAATTGTCCACATGCTTCTTGTGGATTTCAATGGCTTCTCTGTGTAGCCTGACATGGTGGTTTTTGGTGGTTGCCCCCTTTGTTTGAGACGCAAGGCAGTGTCTCTTTCAGAGGACTACAACTCCCAACCCCTCCTCCAAGAGGAGTGCTGCCAAGCATTGGCACCAAGAGGGAGAACAGGCTCCGAAGGCCAAGCCATCTGTCCTTCCTCAAGAGGCGCAAGCGGCCCCCAAAGCGGCCCCCGAGGCGGCATACCTGTCGTCATCGCTGTCGATGCCAAACATGGAGTGGGCCAGGCTGAAGCGGGCCGAGGAGGGCGACGAAGACCCAAAGGGGTCCGAGGTTCTGCGGTTGGGGCTGCCGTCGCGGAAGAGCGGCGGAGCCGGGGAGGAGGGCCGTGAGCGGGACTGCCGTGGCGAGACCTGCAAAGCAGAGGGAGAAAGCCCCACATCAAGACCCATCGTCCATTAGTCCCCCTCCCCACATGAATGGAGCCCCAATGGAGAAAAAAGAAAGGTGTGGGGCGCCCCATCCTTTGGCCAGGGAGGCCTTCCCTCGGAGGACAAAAACAAGGCCGGTCTTGTGCCTGTTCTAGAACAGAGAGGGATTTCTAGGAAAAGCAGGGCAGGGTGGAGCAAGGAACAGAGGCGTCAGGAACCCTCCCTTGGCAAAGGCTGGGCACATTCCGATTATTTTGGAATCCCAAGAAAGGATGATCTTCCCCAAAGCTCTATCAGGCAGGGGCCAGGTGTTTGGGACTACAACTCCCACAGTTCCTAACATGCCAGATTGAAAGAGCGTGTAACGAAGTCCAAGGGTTGTGGACTCCAACTCCCACAATGTGGGTATGCAGATGATTCCTTGATTGACTTAAGTGTCTGGTTCCAAGAGCACAAAGGCATGGGCCAACTTCAGCTCTTCCTCCAAGTGTTTTCGCCTCCAACTCCCACAATTCCCAACAGCTGGCCCATGCCTGTAATGAAGTCCAAGGGTTGTGGACTCCAACTCCCACAATATGCGTATGCAGGTGATAGCATCTGGTCCCAAGAGGACAAAGGCAAGGGCCAACTTTGATTCTTCCTCCAAGTATTTTGGACTCCAACTCCCACAATTCCCAACAGCTGGTCCATGCCTTATTTAGAGAGTGTGTAAGGAAGTCCTAGTGTTTTGGACTCCAACTCCCGCAACGATCCCTTGATTGACTTAAGTGTCCAGTTGGAAGAGGACAAAGGCATGAGCCAACTTCAGCTCTTCCTCCAGGAGTTTTGGACTTCAACTCCCACAATTCCCAACTGCTGGCCCATGCCTGATTTAGAGAGTGTGTAATGAAGTCCTAGGGTTTTGGACTCCAATTACCACAACGTGGGTATGCAGGTGATAGTATCTGGTTCCAAGAGGACAAAGGCATGAGCCAACTTCAGCTCTTCCTCCAGGTGTTTTGGACTTCAACTCCCACAATTCCCAACAACTGGCCCATGCTGATTTAGAGAGTGTGTAAGGAAGTCCTAGCGTTTTGGACTCCAACTCCCACAATGATCCTTTGATTGACTTAAGTGTCCAGTTGGAAGAGGACAAAGGCAAGGGCCAACTTCAGCTCTTCCTCCAGCTGTTTTGGACTCCAACTCCCACAATTCATAACAGCTGGCCCACGCCTGATTTAGAGAGTGTGTAAGGAAGTCCTAGGGTTGTCGACTCCAACTCCCACAATGTGGGTATGCAGATGATCCCTTGATTGACAAGTGTCTGATTTCAAGAGGACAAAGGCATGGGCCAACTTTGATTCTTCCTCCAAGTATTTTGGACTCCAACTCCCACAATTCCCAACAGGTAGCCCATGCCTGATTTAGAGAGTGTGTAAGGAAGTCCTAAGGTTTTGGACTCCAATTACCCACAACGTGGGTATGCAGATGATCCCTTGATTGATTTAAGTGTCCGGTTCCAAGAGGACAAAGGCATGGGCCAACTTCAGCTCTTCCTCCAGGTATTTTGGACTCCAACTCCCACAATTCCTAACAATTGGTAGGCTGTTAGGAATTGTGGGAGTTGAAGTCCAAACACCCGGAGGGCTGAAGTTTGCAATACCTGCTTTAGATGCATATAATATCCAATTGTAAACAATTTCTCATCATTCCCTTCAATTCGAACCTTGAGGGTCCCGGGTTCAGATTCATCCCCAGAAACACAGTGAGCAGAATGACAAGCGGCGCTGCAAGTTGCAAGCCACTGAAAGAATGCAGCTTGACTTTGTTTTAACCGCCACGGCTCAATCTTGGGAGTTGTCCTTTGGCAGAAAAGGGCCTCTCAAACTACAACTCCCAGGATGCCATTGCATTGAGCCATGGGCAATTAAACCACATTCATTCGACTGTGTAGATACCTCCCAAGCTAAGAAGGAGAGATGGTTTTGAGGACAGCGAGCAATAATAAACCCTTCCAAGCTAGCAAGTGGCAAGCAGTTCCGCAGGGAAATAAAAAATGATATGGGGAAATGTTGTCTCCTTCAGGCCTAACTTGACCTGCTTGAACCTCGATCTCAGCTTCCATCCTTGGAGGTTTTTTAGTGGCCAAAGAGGACCAATTTGGATGGTCAAGTGTTGGCTTAGGCCCCTGAAAGACCCAGATTCGAGTTCATGCTCAGCCAGATCAAGCATGGGCCAACTTGGGCCCTCCAGGTAGGCTGTTAGGAATTGTGGGAGTTGAAGTCCAAAACACCTGGAGGGCCCAAGTTGGCCCATGCCTGTCTTAGAGGAAGGCCAAAGGAATCAAGGGCTTTTTGTACGCTTTTTATGTACATTTGTTTAATGTGAATTAATATTGTTTTCTAAATGTTTTATGTATTTTACTGTATTCTGTATGTTCGTGCAGCACTATTAATGTGCTTCTGTAAGCCGCCCTGAGTCCCTTTTGGGAGATGGTGGCAGCAGGATATAAACAAAGTTGTTGTTGTTGTTTGATACACAACAAGATGAGTACACAGCAAACAAGATCACTATATTGGATTACATGTTGGATGCTTTCCATGTATCGGCGAATATGGCCTTTTGAAACTAACAGATGCCAATTTTGTCAGCGCCTATTGTGTTTAAGTGCAGGCCAAGGTCTTGAGGCACTGCACCCAGTGTGCCGATCACCACTGGGACCGCCTTGACTGGCTTGTGCCAGAGTCTTTGCAGTTAGAGCTTTAAATCCTCATATTATTATTATTATTATTATTATTATTATTATTATTATTAGTGCCCAGGACTGTGTGATGTATCAGCGAATAATGTGTGCAGATCCCAGTAAGGTGGCCTTTTGCAGCTGACAGGTGGTGATTTTGTCAGTGCCTATTGTTTTTAAGTACAGGCCAAGGTCTTGAGGCACTGCACCCAGTGTGCTGATCACCGCTGGGACCCCCTTGACTGGCTTGTGCCAGAGTCTTTGCAGTTCGAGCTTTAAATCCTCATAATGTGTTGTATTATTATTATGATTATTATTATTAGTAGTAGTAGTAGTATTAGTATTATTATTAGGGTGGCCTTTTGCAGCTGACAGGTGGTGATTTTGTCAGCGCCGATTGTGTTTAAGTGCAGGCCAAGGTCTTGAGGCACTGCACCCAGTGTGCCGATCACCACTGGGACCCCCTTGACTGGCTTGCGCAGTTCAAGCTTTAAATCCTCATATTGTGTTGTATTATTATTATTACTATTACTATTACTATTATTATTATTAGGGTGGCCTTTTGCAGCTGACAGGTGGTGATTTTGTCAGTGCCTATTGTTTTTAAGTACAGGCCGAGGTCTTGAGGCACTGCACCCAGTGTGTCGATCACCGCTGGGACCTCCTTGAGTAGCTTGTGCCAGAGTCTTTGTAGTTCGAGCTTTAAATCCTCATATTGTGTTGTATTATTATTATTATTATTATTATTATTATTATTATTATTATTATTATTATTATTATGGTGGCCTTTTGCAGCTGACAGGTGGTGATTTTGTCAGCACTGATTGTTTTTAAGTGCAGGCCAAGGTCTTGAGGCACTGCACCCAGTGTGCCGATCACCACTGGGACCGCCTTGTGCCAGAGTCTTTGCAGTTCGAGCTTTAAATCCTCATATTGTGTTGTATTATTATTACTATTATTACTATTATTACTATTACTATTACTATTATTATTATTATTATTATTATTATTATTATTATTATTATTATTAGGTTGGCCTTTTGCAGCTGACAGGTGGCGATTTTGTCAGTGCATATTGTTTTTAAGTGCAGGCCAAGGTCTTTAGGCACTGCACCCAGTGTGCCGATCACCACTGGGACCCCCCTTGACCGGCTTGTGCAGTTCGAGCTTCAAATCCTCGCATCGTGTCAGCTTTTCCAGTTGCTTCTCGTCAATTCTGCTGTCACCTGGGATTGCAACATTGACGATCCACACTTTGTTTTTTTCCATGATCGTCAGGTCAGGAGTCTTGAGCTCCAGAACTCTATTAGTTCTGGATTCGAAACCGTGCACTGGGGAGAGAGTCACATTCTCTCAGCCTTGGAAGGAAGCCATTGCAAGGAGATCAAGCTCAGGAAACCTTAAGCGAGGGCCGTTCTGAGTCGGGAAGGACTTGAAGGCATGCAACAATAACGGAGGAAGACTCACCCAAAGGCTTGGAACCATGATAGCGGAACCATAATAGAAGCTCTGGTTTTATTATGGTTCCACGCCTCTATGCAGAGACCCTCACTGATTGACTTTGCAAACTTCAGAGCTTCTATCTGTCTATGGAATATCCATGCTCCCTCTATGCAAAATACCCTCACTGATTGACTTTGCAAACTTCAGGGCTCTGCAAATGCTAATTCAAGCTTGCCAACTGCAACAGACAAGGGTTCTCTCTCCCACCCTGTTTGGGAGACGGCTAGACTACCTCTAGAGGCTCTTACTGATTGACTTCGCAAACTTCAGAGCTACTCAAATGCTAATTCAAGTTTGCCAACGGCAACAGACAAGGGTTCTTTCTCCCACCCTGTTTGGGAGACAGCTAGACTACCTCTAGAGACTCTTACTGATTGACTTCGCAAACTTCAGAGCTACTCAAATGTTAATTCAAGCTTGCTAATTGCAACAGGCGAGGGTTCTTTCTCTCATCCCGTTTGGGAGCTGGCTAGGCTACCTCTATGCAGAGACCCTCACTGATTGACTTCACAAACTTCAGGGCTACTCAAGCTTGCTAATTGCAAGAGGCGAGGGTTCTTTCTCTCATCCCGTTTGGGAGCCGGCTAGGCTACCTCTAAGCAGAGACCCTCACTGATTGACTTTGCAAACTTCAGAGCTATGCAAATGCTAATTCAAGCTTGCTAATTGCAACCGGCAAGGGTTCTTTCTCCAACCCATTTGGGAGCTGGCTAGGCTACCTCTGTGCAGATACCCTTACTGATTGACTTTGCAAACTTCAGCGCTACAATTTTGCCTGAAATCAATTGGGCCCCAAAGGCTTGAATACTGAACCCTGCTCCAAAACTCTATTAGCCCTGGATTTGAAACCGCACACTGGGGAGAGAGTCACATTCTCTCAGCCTTGGAAGGAAGCCATTGCAAGGAGATCTGGCCCAGGAAACCTTAAGCGAGGGCCGTCCTGATTCAGGAAGGACTTGAAGGCATGCAACAATAACGGAGGAAGATTCTTGTGGGTTACTTCGGGCTATATGGCCATGTTCTAGAGGCATTTCTCCTGACGTTTCGCCTGCATCTATGGCAAGCATCCTCAGAGGATGCTTGCCATAGATGCAGGCGAAACGTCAGGAGAAATGCCTCTAGAACATGGCCATATAGCCCGAAAAAACCCACAAGAACTTAGTGATTCCAGCCATGAAAGCCTTCGACAATACAATGGAGGAAGACTCACCCAAAGGCTTGGAACCATGGTAGAGGAACCATAACAGAAGCTCTGGCTCTGTTATGGTTCCACGCCTTTGGGTGAGTCTTCCTCGGTTATTGCTCCATGCCTTCCAGTTATTCTTCCTCGGTTCCATGTTTTCGAGTCATTCTTCCCAAAACCCTGACAGTGCCAACCAGAGGACGTGGAGGGCCACCTGCCCCCCAAACTGAGGCCCACCCCAGAGTCTCACCTTGCGTCGCTCATCCGTCTCCCTCTGGATCAGCTTTGAGACGCTCTTGGGCAGGAGGTGCTCCTCCACCACCAAAGTGGGCACGGCCGGGGTCCCAGCGGAGGTGGCAGCGAGGGTCCCGGGATCCCCAGCCTCTTTGGCAACCGAGGCCAGGGGGCTGCGGAGGGAGACCGGGCTGGGGGGAGTCCTGTGGGGCCGGACCATAACCGGGAGGCCTCCGCCGAGAGAGCGGGCCTGGTGGCTGGACGTGGCCGGGGGCAGCACCAGCTGGGAGTGCAGACTGGCGCAGGCACCTCCAAATCCTCCTCCTCTGCGCTGGGGCTGCGGACTGAAGGGCCCTTGAGGATGGGTCAGAAGTCCAGCCACTTCCAGCCGGGAGTCCAGAGACTGCGGGTGTCGCCCGGCTTCAGCCAGCCGCCCCACAAAGGGGTGCTGGGGGTGGGATTCGGCTTCGGCATTGTAGAAGTCCCGGCAGGTCCAGCGGCCACGTTTGTAGGGCTCCCCGGGACCCGGGTCCAGCTTCACCACCCGGAAGCGCGAGCCGGACACCAGCGACGGGGCGGTCAACGGGGAGGTGGGGGCCGTGGGGCCATTTCTGGCCGCCCCACCGTTGCTGGCGTTGCCGTCGTTGGCCCGCGGGCCGGCGTCCCCTTCCGCTTCTGTCCCAGCCTTGGCGGCGTCCGCTCGTCCTTCTTTCTGCTCGTAGTCCGAAGTGACGCTGGTGATCTGGAACCCGCTCTTCTTCTTGCCTCCGCCGCTCATGGTCCTGGGGGCAACGAGGCGGGGGCTTCACCGGGAGGGCCGCGGCACCGTCGTCCTCCTCCTCGTCATCGTCCCCCAAATCCTGGCGAGGGGAGAGAGGGCGGAATATCAGTACAGCCTAATTCCTATCGTTATGATTAGCAAGAAATCGACGTAGTCCTAAAGCCGGCCGGGGCAACGCCACCCTTGCGAGGCGGGCCCATGCCGGGGTCACAACACAAGGGGGTCAAAGGTCAGGGAGACCCCAACAGAGCTTAGAGATAGACAAAGCCTGGCTTGGGGAAGGGGAAGAGAGGGGAGGGGGGAAAAGGGGGGTCTGTCTAGGGGAGGCCGCGACCCCGGTTGGCCCAAGGCAAGGCTGTTGACAAGGCGAGGGAGGCAGCCGAGGAGTGACACCCGAAGCAGCAGAAGCAGCAGCAAGGAAGTCAGTCCGGCCCCTCCTTCCTTCCTTCCGTCAGTCCTTCCTTCCCAACCAGCTGACTGCCTGCCCCTCCCCTCCCCTCCCTTGCCCTCCCCCCAAGGCTGGCCCAGCCCCCCTTAACCCCTTCCTTCCCGGAGCCCAGCAAAGCAAGGCCCAGAGAGAAGCAAGCACAGGTATGGGCCAAATTGGGCTCTCCGTCCAGGTGTTTTGCTTAAGCAGCGGAGGGGGAAAAGGAAGGGGCCTGAGGCTGTGAGGAATGGTGGGAGTCGGAGTCCAAAACACCTGGGCGGAGAGCCCAATTTGGCCCATACCTGCCGTGCAATGAATACAGTTTCACCCCACGTTGTTACATTTATTTACACTTCCCTTTCTCTTTCCCAAAGGGGATTCAAAGTATCTTGACATATAAACATTAGTATACAGTGTGTTCTTGAAGGCTTTCCTGGTGGAAGGCAAAAGGAAGAGGGGCCGACCAAGGGCAAGATGGATGGATGGCATCCTTGAAGTGACTGGACTGACCTTGAAGGAGCTGGGGGTGGTGACGGCCGACAGGGAGCTCTGGCGTGGGCTGGTCCATGAGGTCACGAAGAGTCGGAGACGACTGAACGAATGAACACACATACAATGTGTTCTTGAAGGCTTTCCTGGGTTGCTGTTGAGTTTTTAGGTCTGTACTAGCCATGTGCAGGCAGCATTCTCTCCTGATGTTTCACCTACATCTGTGGCTAATGGCATCTTCAGGGGTCTGTTCAGAAGCAAGGGGAGTCTGTCTATCTATCTATCTATCTATCTATCTATCTATCTATCTATCTATCTATCTATTTATCTATCTGTGAAATATCCAGGCTAACTCCATGCAATACCCTCACTGGTTGACTTTGCAAACTTCAGGGCTTCTATCTATCTATGGAATGCCCAGGCTACCTCTATGCAAAGTACCCTCACTGATTGACTTTGCAAACTTCAGAGCTTCTCAAATCGTAATTCAAGCTTGCTAATTGCAACAGGCAAGGGTTCTTTCTCCCACCCTGTTTGGGAGATGGCTAGGCTACCTCCATGCAGAGACCCTCACTGATTGACTTTGCAAACTTCAGAGCTGTGCAAATGCTAATTCAAGTTTGCTAATTGCAACAGGGAAGGGTTCTTTCTCCCACCCTGTTTGGGAGATGGCTAGGCTATCTCCATGCAGAGACCCTCACTGACTGACTTTGCAAACTTCAGAGCTACTCAAATGCTAATTCAAGTTTGCTAATTGCAACAGGAAAGGGTTCTTTCTCCCACCCTGTTTGGGAGACGGCTAGGCTACCTCCATGCAGAGACCCTCACTGATTGACTTTGCACATTTCAGAGCTGTGCAAATGCTAATTCAAGTTTGCTAATTGCAACAGGCAAGGGTTCTTTCTCCCACCCTGTTTGGGAGATGGCTAGGCTATCTCCATGCAGAGACCCTCACTGATTGACTTTGCAAACTTCAGAGCTACTCAAATGCTAATTCAAGTTTGCTAATTGCAACAGGCAAGGGTTCTTTCTCCCACCCTGTTTGGGAGACGGCTAGGCTACCTCCATGCAGAGACCCTCACTGATTGACTTTGCACACTTCAGAGCTGTGCAAATGCTAATTCAAGTTTGCTAATTGCAACAGGCAAGGGTTCTTTCTCCCACCCTGTTTGGGAGATGTCTAGGCTACCTCTATGCAGATACCCTTACTGATTGACTTTGCAGCTTCCTGGCTACTCAATGCTAATCAAGCTCACTAATTGCAACATCCACCCTTGCTTCACAAAGACACGGGCTTAAGCGGCGGAGGGGGAAAAGGAAGGGTCCTGAGGCTGTTAGGAATGGGAGTCGGAGTCCAAAACACTGGGACGGAGGGACCAAGTTGGCCCATGCCTGCGATGCAATGAATACAGTTTCACCCCACATTGCTACATTTATTCACACTTCCCTTTCTCTTTCCCAAAGGGGATTCAAAGTATCTTGACATATAAACATTAGTATACAATGTGTTCTTGAAGGCTTCCATTGGTTGCTGTTGAGTTTTTAGGTCTCTACTAGCCATGTTCCAGCAGCATTCTCTCCTGATGTTTCACCTACATCTGCTCAAAGGACATTTAATCCACTACCAAGCTTGCAAAATTTGTGTTTTGTCTGTTTGTTTGTTTTGTTTTGTTAAAAATGTAATACAACTGTCTGGTTACTTCTGACACGATAAATAAACCTACATCTGTGGCTAATGGCATCTTCAGAGGTTTGTTCAGAAGCAAGGGGAGTCTATCTATCTATGGAATGTCCAGGCTACCTCTATGCAAAATACCCTCACTGATTGACTTTGAAAACTTCAGGGCTTTTGTCTATCTATGGAATGTCCCAGCTACCTCTATGCAAAATACCTTCACTGATTGACTTGGCAAACTTCAGGGCTTATATCTATTTCTGGAATGTCCAGGCCACCTCTATGCAAAATACCCTCACTGATTGACGTTGCAAACTTCAGGGCTTCTATCTATCTATGGAATGTCCAGGCTACCTCTATGCAAAATACCAAACTTCCTCTGTGCAAAAATATCCTCACTGATTGACTTTGCAAACTTCAGGGCTCTCCAAATGCCGATTCAAGCTTGCCAATTGCAACAGACAAGGGTTCTTTTCTCCCACCCTGTTTGGGAGGCATTGACTTTGCCAACTTCAGGGCTTTTATCTATCTATGGAATGTCCAGGCGACCTCTATGCAAAATACCCTCACTGATTGACTTTGCAAACTTCAGGGCTCCACAAATGCTAATTCAAGCTTGCCAATTGCAACAGACAAGGGTTCTTTCTCCCACCCTGTTTGGGAGACATTGACTTTGCAAACTTCAGGGCTTTTAATCTATCTATGGAATGTCCAGGCTACGTCTATGCAAAATACCAAATGACCTCTGTGCAAAATACCCTCACTGGTTGACTTTGCAGACTTCAGGGCTCCGCAAATGCTAATTCAAGCTTGCCAATTGCAACAGACAAGGGTTCTTTTCTCCCACCCTGTTTGGGAGACATTGACTTTGCAAACTTCAGGGCTTTTAATCTATCTATGGAATGTCCAGGCTACCTCTATGCAAAATACCCTCACTGATTGATGTTGCAAACTTCAGGGCTTTTATCTATCTATGCAATGTCCAGGCTACCTCTATGCAAAGTACCCTCAGTGATTGACTTTGCAAACTTCAGGGTTCTTCAAATGTTAATTCAAGCTTGCCAATTGCAACAGGTAAGGGTTCTTTCTCCCACCCTGTTTGGGAGACAGCTAGGCTACCTCTATTCAAAATAACCTCACTGATCGACTTTGCAAATTTCAGAGCTACTCAAATGGTAATTCAAGTTTGCTAATTGCAACAGGCAAGGGTTCTTTCTTCCACCCTGTTTGGGAGATTGCTAGGCAGCTCTATGCAGATACCCTCACTGATTGACTTTGCATATTTCAGGATTACTCAAATGCTAATTCAAGTTTGCTAATTACAACAGACAAGGATCCTTTCTCTCACCATGTTTGGGAGATGGCTAGGCTATGTCTATGCAGAGACCCTCACTGATTGACTTTGCAAACTTCAGGTCTACTCGATGCTATTGAAACTTGCTGACTGCAACATCCACACTTGCTTCACACAGACAAGGGTTCTTTCTCGCACCCTGGACATTATTCCACAGGTATACATACACTCCACTTGCCTCACAGCCAACAGAACCTCTGAAGACTCCATTAGCCACAGATGCAGGTGAAACGTCAGGAGACAATGCTACTGGAACTTGGCCAGACAGCTCAAAAAGCCCACAGCAACCCATTAGTATACAGTTTATATACACAGTTTATATAGCCTTGAGTCAAAAGGCCTCCAACTGCACACAGTGTAGACCAGGCATGGGCCAAAACACCTGGAGGGCCAAAACACCTGGAGGGCCATTAGCCACAGATGCAGGCGAAACGTTCGGAGACAATGCTACTGGAACTTGGCCACACAGCTCGAAAAGCATATAGCTTTGAGTCAAAAGGCCTCCAACTGCACACAATGTAGACCAGGCATGGGCCAACTTCATCCCTCTGGGTGTTTTGGACTCCAACTCCCACAATTCCTAACAGCCGGTAGGCTGTTAGGAATTGTGGGAGTTGGAGTCCAAAACACCCAGAGGGCCGTAGTTGGCCCATGCCTGGTGTAGACGCACCTTCAGAAATGTGCTAACTCAACCCATCCCTTTGGGGTCCTTTTGACCTCAGGGTCCCTCTCATTGAGGCTGGACTAGATGCCCTCTGAGTGACCCCCTCCCACTCTACCTCTGGGAAGAGATTACACCCAAACACACACACACAACGCACACCAAGGCCGAGGTGCTAGAAGGCTAATCCGTCTCAAACGGGGAAATAACGGGATTAAGACTGGGATCGGAAGCAAGGCAGCGGGGATTATATCCCAGGGAACAAGACCGCCGTCTGGGATCAGGGTCAAGAGGGCAGCTGAGGGATTGGCTTCATGCGCTGGCCCTTTAAGGCAGGGAGGTCTGGGACCCCAACCTATGGGGTCTAGGTATTTTAACTGGGTTGCATCCTCCATATATCATTATTATAATGATAATGATGATGATTATTGTATTGTCGAAGGCTTTCATGGCCGGAATCACTGGGTTGTTGTATTTTTTTTTCGGGCTATATGGCCATGTTCTAGAAGCATTCTCTCCTGACATTTCACCTACATCTATGGCAAGCATCCTCAGAGGTTGTGAGATTTGTTGGAACTAGAAAAAAGGGTTTATATATCACTACCTCTGAGGAAACAAGCCAGGACATCTAATCACCTCTCAACAAAAGATTGCTCCAGGCACTGCCAGGCCATCAAATGCTAATCAAGGTGGTCAATTGAAACATTTATTTATTTATTTATTTATTTTATTTTATTTATATATTGCTTTTCTCAGCCCTCAGGCAACTCAAAGCAGTGAACAACATCAATACAAAACATCATGAGACAAGTATAGGGCAATTAAAAACAATTGTAACATAAATCATTAA